CTGGTTAAAATTTGACTGGTCAGAATTGGACATTTACTTGCATCGAAAATGTCAGCCTTCGACCAGTCCTCAAGGAACCGGCCTAGAGATAGACGAAAAGTACAGTTTGGCAGTGACAGGGAGGTGTTGTTTTGCAATTCAATAAAAAAAATTTAAAGAACACCACCCTGTAAATGTCCCAATCGCTTGGTCTGGCCTTGATACAAAGTGAACATTTGAACACACATAAACATGCGTGGCTTGAGCTCAGTGCGCAGATATGCTTGCTACTATTTGTTAGCCTTCAGGAGGGTCCGGATTCAAATGCCGTCAGAAGCAACATGGTTATAAAATGATACAATTTTTTTTTGTGTTTCCGAATTATGAAAGAGCATCTGCGAAGTGCAGAACGGAATCTTTCTCCAACGAAAATAATCTCCAAAATTGGACTAGTCCATGACTATCTTACGGTCAGTGTTGATTGGACCGGTCCTTTTCCAATGACACACCAATGCTAAAAATGGCAGTTGAAACCATTGGCAGGGGAATTATGAGGGACTAGTGCTGGTAACAATAGGGACTATCTGAGGGCTAACCTAGGGTGACTCTGAATTGCTGCAGGGATACTATGAGTTTACAGCTGTTAAAGGCGTAAAGCGCAATGCTAAAAAGTAGTTAATTTAATCTTTTTTTTTTTTTTATAGAAAAACTCAATTTTTAAATGGCAAATGTTCATTAACATTTTGATGTGCATAATTAATTACTTATCAAAGTATGAACATACCATAGTTAGTTTGTACATCGAGTTTAATAAAATTTTATTGAAAATGTGCACTGTATGTATGTCTATGTAATGTATGTACATAAATACATTGTAAATATGTACATATGTATGTATGTGCATGTTCAAATATTGATGCCGTAATGTTTATACGTAGATTTGTTGGATAGCTGTGCTAAAAAATACCAGCTGCATATCAATACAACATCGATCTTGTTCACTTCATCTGAAGGTTTCTACAAACAGACTGATCGTCTCTAATCTGGCTATGCAACCTAACAAAATGTATGAGCAACATACAACTATGCCATAACGTAGCAGAAGTGTCTGTAAATTCATACATATGTACAGTTGTTTTTTTTTTATTTAATGTTTATTATTTTTTTTTTTTATAAAAGTCTAGCTGGTTATACAACAAACACCACATTTCAAACTTTGTAAAAAAATTATAAAAATTCAGAAAATTTTCACCAAAATTTCAATATTTTTAATTAAAGTCTTGGTATGCAGTTTTTTTTATTTATTTTTCACGTTTTTTCCATATAAAGTATATTCCACAATTTTCTTTTATATTTTCAACGGAATTTTTTAGCAGCCTGAAACTTGCACTTCATAAGACTAGAATTAAAAAGTTTGAAAATTCGGCGAAAATTTGCTGAATTTTTATAATTTTTGTACAAAATCTGAATTTATTTGGTGTTTGTTGTATAACCCAGCTAGACTTTTATAAAAAAAAATAATAAACATTACAAAAATTAAAGACAAATAGCCAACACTGATCAAAATATCGCACTCCTATTGTTTAGTGGACCACTGTATGTACTTATATTATGTGCATGCGTGCTAGTAACGTTCGTTACGCTACTATGACTACTTTAGTTGAAATTGAGCAACTGCCCTCAATGACGAATGCTAAAACAATACAATGGCGTTAAAGAAGCGCACAAGGCATTGAACTACACTTAAAATAAAACAAACAATTGGACCATTGAACTAGACATACAAACAAAGCACGAAAAGTCGATTGAAGCTTTAATAAAACATATGTAATAATACATACATACATATGTATGTATGTATATTTGTGTGGTATTGCAACTATGGATTGTATGGGCTAGAGTATGTATTGATTGACTAAGCGCCGGTTTAAGTAAACTTCAATCGCTGTCATTGTTGAGAAGAATACTGTCTGCATTGTTTTTCGATCCGCTTACTACAATAACTAGAGTTTAGAAGAAGTAAAATGTTTCTGCTCGCCTTTTTTAAGAAGTGCTGTTCGTTTTTTATTTGTAATTGGCCACACGAATGCCGGATAGAGGGAGTTCTGACGGTGTTCGAAACACTCCATAGGTGACTGGGCTTTAACAAGAGCCGGTACGGTACGGGTCATATGACACCAAGAATCGGCCTTGGAAAGGGGTTTATGCAGGAATTTTGGGTAGTATACATACACACATATACATATGTATGTAAGACAATACCCCTGCAAACCATTTTCTCAGAGTATTCTGCATTGTAAAGAAATTTTAAAGAACTCGCTAAGATTTAATTCGATTTTTTGCCGAATTTTCTAAAATGAAATAAATAAAACTTTCTTATCTTAAAATAACATCTGTACATTTTTCCGCAGGGCTTCACATACGTAGCGCCATCAATTCTAGAGGACATGCAACGCGCGAATCGCATGCCAGCACGATCACCGCGTCGTACACCTCGGCAACATCACGAAGGCTCCTACCGTATGCAATTTCCGCCACAACGCGGCGTCTATCCAAGAGCAACGCCACCACATTTGCAAGCTTTTCCGCCACGCCCATCGCCCCAGGACGAAATGATGGATGTTCAGGGGGTGCCAATTGTGTAGTTAAGAGCCGCAGGCAGCAGCAGCAAATCAACATTAGCGATAACCAATGCGAGAGCGCATACAAGCATGCGGGTGAAGAATAATAATGATGGTGGTAGCAGGGCAAAGGAGAAAGAGAAGGTGAATGAAACGAAAAAATAAACATAAATCGACATAAACGTACGTTCACTACTAACAGAGAAAAAAGAAACTGATTACAACTGATAAAAACCAGTAACTAACATTTTGATAAAGTATATAATAAAATGCTGCTTAATGATAAATTTTACAATTAAAAAAACAAAAAACCTAAAATCGTTGATTAAGAAAAAGAAAGAAAAAATGTAAAATAGACAAAAAAAAAAAAATTGTATGAAAATTTTTTCAAAAAAATGTTATCCGTTAGTTGTGAAATCGCGTCAACCAACATAAGGCCAAGCAAGTAAATCTACATTAACATTAACATGAGAAAAGCAAGCAGCGCGAAGCCAACGGCAAAGTGATGTCGTCGTCCCTTAGAATTGGGGAAAATCATTTGTGCGCAAACGTAAAAAATAGTGAATAAAATTAGTTTATAACATAAAAATACACAATTATTAATGTTATAGGAAAGTGAAAAGAAAAAAGTGTAAACAGCAGCGATTAAGGCTAATATCATGAAATCTTATTCATGTACTACATATGTACGTGCATAGGTTATAACTCAATTGTAGATGAAAAGGAGAAACTTGTAAGTAATTAAATTAACACTAGTTCTTAACATAATAAAAAGTATAACAGAAGGATTGTAAAAAATCAGATATAGTCAAACTTTTTCGTACATCGACTATTTTGTCGCCGCCGCCGCCACTGCAACCAACACATTGGTCATTGTTGCCGACCGGCTTGCGGTTTTGCATTTTCCAGCAACACCGCCCATATCACCATCATCTTTTAGCATTGCTTCTTACTATCATTAAGACATACATATATAAATAAATATTGCTAATAAAATGAAAGAGCCAACCCGGTCAATGCAAACGCAACTATTAATTATACATATGTACATACAAGTTGCCGATATCGAAGGATTAAGAACATGCAAACATACATACTACATGCATATTCGTATATACATACGTACCACGTTAAGAGCAATCATCAACAACTTTGCTCTTATTGAATTGATCAAAATATGTGTAAACGTGAAAAACACATCTTCAGTCCAATTTACTTACTTTATTTTAGTTCAATTTATAGTTTATATATACATAGATGTATTCGAAAGAGAATGTAAACAGTCAGCTTAATAAATCAATGTTACAATGTATAGC